CTGGACTGTCGTTTGCGGGAGCGCAGAGCTGAGCGGACACAGCGGAATCCACCTGTCTCACACAGTAAGCCCAGTTTTTCCACCTACCCTGTTCCCTCTGTGTTTAAGTCTCCCTCCGTTTTCTCGCCGCCCAGCGGGCGCACCTCTTCTCACGAGGAGGCTATACAACTGGGTCGCGCTAGACTATCTCCGGAGGAGCGTCAACGTCGGGCGTGTGCTGGCGAATGCATGTATTGTGGCAACGCTGGGCATGTCATTTCCAACTGTCCTGTACGCCCAAACGTGGGAGCTCGTCAGTGAGATTGGGGGTCCTGACGAGTCCACAGCCATCTTCTCTACCTCCATCTTTGTGCCGTTTTCTAATACCCGCCAAGATTTGTGTTAATACTATGACTTTGCCTATCCAAGCTCTCATTGATTCTGGTGCTGAGGATAGTTTTTTGGACCGTGAGTTAGCTGAACAGCTGGGACTCTGCCTGGAGCCGTTAGATGAACCTTTAACAGCCTATGCACTTAATGGACAAATAATCTCCTCTGTAACAGCACAGTCAGCCCCTTTGACATTGATCACCTCCGGCAACCACAGAGAGCTCATCCAGTTAAAGGTAATCTCTGCACCTTCCACACCTCTGGTATTGGGTTATCCGTGGCTTCGCACCCACAACCCACACATTGATTGGGTCAAAGGAAAGATCATTGAATGGGATCAGCACTGTCTCGCTAACTGTCTGTTATCTGCTGTACCTCCTGTCTCTGTCTCCCCAAACTCTGCTGCTTCTGTAGACTTAACTGGAGTTCCTGCGACCTACCACGACCTGAGATTGGTCTTCAGCAAGGAGAGGGCTCTCTCTCTTCCTCCTCATCGGCCCTACGACTGCTCTATAGATCTGTTTCCTGGGGCTCCTCTACCCACCAGCCGCCTCTACAACCTGTCCCGTCCTGAGAAGGAGGCTATGGAGCTATATATCACGGACTCAGTGGCTGCTGGGATTATTCGTTCTTCCTCCTCTCCCGTGGGTGCCGGTTTCTTCTTCGTTGGCAAAAGGGATAAGTCACTGCGACCTTGCATTGACTTTCGTGGGTTAAACAACATTACTGTTAAGAACAAGTACCCATTACCCCTTCTCACCTCTGCTTTTGAACCTCTCCATGAGGCAACCCTGTTCACCAAGCTTGACCTTAGGAACGCCTATCATCTGGTCCGTATCCGTCAAGGGGATGAATGGAAGACGGCTTTCAACACTCCCTTAGGTCATTTTGAATACCTAGTCATGCCCTTTGGACTCACTAACGCTCCAGCAGTATTTCAGGCTCTGGTCAACGATGTTCTGCGTGATTTCCTTAACCGCTTTGTCTTTGTTTACATAGACGACATCCTGATTTTCTCCAAAGACCAGGAGGAACACGAGAACCATGTCCGCCTGGTGCTTCAGAGACTGCTGGAGAACAAGCTCTATGTCAAGGCTGAGAAGTGTGAGTTCCACCAGAACCGGATCAGCTTCCTGGGCTATATCATTAGTCAGGGCAGAGTGGAGGCAGATTCTGGAAAGATCGAGGCTGTGGTCGAGTGGCCAGCCCCTACTACGAGGAGGGAGCTTCAGAGGTTTCTGGGCTTCGCCAACTTTTACCGCCGCTTCATCAGGAACTTCAGTAAGGTTGCTGCACCTCTCTCAAGACTCACCTCTGTCAACATTAAGTTCTTCTGGACCCCAGAGGCTAATGAGGCTTTTCTCAAACTCAAGTCCCTGTTCACCTCTGCTCCCATCCTCATCCAGCCAGACTCTGAGAAGCAGTTTATTGTGGAGGTTGATGCGTCAGACACTGGGGTGGGAGCTGTCTTGTCACAAACTGCTGGTTCTAATAACATCCTTCATCCTTGTGCTTTCTTTTCACGCCGCCTCTCTCCTGCTGAGCGCAATTATGACGTTGGAAACAGGGAGCTTCTGGGAGTAAAGTTGGCGTTAGAGGAGTGGAGACACTGGCTCGAGGGCAGCAAGCAGTCATTCCTGGTCTGGACAGACCACAAGAACCTCGCCTACATCCAGTCAGCGAGACGGCTGAACTCTCGACAGGCCAGATGGGCTCTCTTCTTCAGTCGCTTCAATTTTAGTCTCACATACCGTCCAGGTTCCCGGAATGTTAAGCCCGATGCTCTATCCAGACTGTACTCTTCTGACTCTCCCGAGCCCTCTGCTGGTTCAATCCTGCCCAAGAGTTGTGTTGTAGGCGCCCTCTCTTGGGAGATTAATAACACCATCCAGGAGGCTTTGAGAGAGCAACCAGATCCTGGTAACGGTCCTCCGAACCGTCAGTTCGTTCCCGATGCTGCTCGCTCCAAGGTTCTACAGTGGGTCCACAGTTCCCGGTTCTCCATCCATCCCGGAGTAAACCGCACACGCTCTCTTCTTAAGAGACACTTCTGGTGGCCAACTGTCAACAAGGACACTCAGGAGTTTGTTTCTTCCTGTCCCACGTGTGCTAGGAGTAAGTCCTCCCACCAAACACCTGCAGGATTGCTTCAGCCTCTACCCATCCCTAGTCGTCCCTGGTCACATATCGCCTTGGACTTTGTTACCGGTCTGCCTCCCTCCCAGGGTAACACCACAATTCTCACCATTGTTGATAGATTCTCTAAGTCTGCCCACTTTGTAGCTCTTCCTAAGCTCCCTTCAGCCTTGGAGACCTCCCAACTCCTCTCTGTACACGTTTTCCGGCTACATGGAATCCCTTCTGACATAGTTTCTGACCGCGGTCCTCAATTCACCTCTCGAGTGTGGAAGGAGTTCTGTCAATCCCTGGGAGCTTCTGTCAGTTTAACATCCGGATATCATCCCCAGTCAAACGGTCAGACTGAGCGAACCAACCAGGACCTGGAGTCAGCCCTCCGCTGCATCGTTGACCGTAACCCCTCTACCTGGAGCTCCCATCTTCCCTGGGTTGAGTACATAATTCCCTAACGTGTTCTGCTACTGGTCTCTCCCCGTTTGAGGCTTCTTTGGGGTACCAGCCGCCCCTGTTCCCTGAAGAGGAGAGAGAACTAGCAGTTCCCTCGGTCCAGCAGCATGTTCGTCGTTGTCAAAAGATCTGGAGAGACACTCGCTCTGCTCTCCTCCTGACTTCAGCTCGGAACCAACAGTCGGCCAATCGCCACAGACAAGCTGCTCCTCCTTACGTCCCAGGTCAGTCTGTCTGGTTATCTTCCAGGAACATTCCTCTCCTCACAGAATCGAAGAAGTTGTCTCCACGCTTCATTGGTCCCTTCTCCATTCAAAGGATTATTAACCCCTCAGCAGTCCGGCTGAAGCTTCCCAGAACATTGAGAGTCCATCCTACTTTTCATGTCTCCCAGATTAAGCCTGTTCACACCAGTGACTTGAGCCCTCCGGCCGTTCCCCCCTCCTCCCCCCCGAGTCATTGATGACCATCCTGCCTACACAGTGCACCGTCTCATGGACGTCAGGCGCCGGGGCAGGGGCTTACAGTATTTGGTGGACTGGGAGGGTTACAGCCTCGAGGAGCGATGCTGGGTTCCTCGCTCCCGAGTCCTGGACCCTGTAATGATAAGGGCCTTTCACAGGGCTCATCCAGACAAGCCTGGTGGTCGCCAGGAGGCTCCCGTTGAGGGGGGGGTACTGTGAGGATCTGCAGTACTTCCTCCTTCTTTTCCACTTCTATGTTTGTTTGTCTTCCTGGCTGGGCGTGGCTGACCTACATTCTGATTCCCGCCAACTCATCTCCACTGCTGTTGTTCATCTCACTGATTGCCACTACTCACCTGCACCTGCTTAAAACCCTGGTTCCCATCCTCAGACTTCGCCAGTTCTTCGTTTATTCTTCAGTGGTAAACTATCGTCCAGGCCTACTAGCAGTATTCTAGTAAACCCTTTGATACTCCTAGTGAAAGGTTTCCTTTCTAACCCTGCATCTTTATTTCTCCAGATCTACACACACCTGCCGCTCTGCTTGCCACGTCCAGCCTCCGACTCCTCGTCTGAGTTCCCTCCGTGCTTCCGCGCACACCAGCTCATCCAGACTACATTCGCCAGCTCTGGATTCCCGGCTCTCCTCGTCGGTGTTTCCTCCGTGCCTCCACGCACACCAGCTCATCCTGTCTACATTCGCCAGCTCTGGATCTCCGGCTCTCCACGCCGGTGCTTCCTCCGTGCATCTCCGCACCTCCGTCTCCCCCTGAGCTATCCAGCTCCACGTCTGTCTTCTCTGAGCTCCTCTCTACACCTTGCCTGTGCCGTGGTCAAATAAAGACTATTGTTTGACACTTCACCACTGTCTCCGTCTAGTGTTTGCGTAGCGGGTTCTCATCTCCAGTCACTTCTCGGGAAGCGTAACAGTTTTTTTATTGAAAAAAACTAAAAACTAGAATAATTTTCAAAAAGTACATTTCAAGGAATATTTGATTATTGTTATTATTAGGTCCCTAGATTGGTCAATGATTGGCAGCAACATTGATTTGAATGCATTGTTATTTTTTTTGCAGTGTCAGGTTTAAACAAAAACTCACATTCGTGTTCCTAAGGCCATAAATTGCCACCTTCACAAAAACTGCTATAAAAATATGATATATTCATATTTTTTCCCACTTTAAAAGAGTACATCTTTTAGAACTACTCCAGCCTGACATACACATATGAAATATGAATTATATTTTGGGGATTTTAACCCTTTAAATGCCAGTTTGTTGAAAAAACTCCAGTTTTTTTATTGAAAAGAACAAAAAACTAGAATAATTAAAAAAAAAATACATTTCAAGGAATATTTGATTATTGTTATTATTAGGTCCCTAGATTGGTCAATGATTGGCAGCAACATTGATTTGAATGCATTGTTATTTTTTTTGCAGTGTTAGATTTAAACAAAAACTCACACTCGTGTTCCTAAGGCCATAAAATGCCACCCTCACAAAAACTGCCATAAAAATATGATATATTCATATTTTTTTCCTAAATCTTTTAAAACTACTCCAGCCTGACTAAAATGAATAATACAAGATCATTTTGAACCATAAAAACATTTATTTTACAAAGATGAACATTGAATGAACACTGTGTCTGGCTGTGAGAGTTCAGCTCAGGTCGAGCAGGGGCTGCAAATGGACAGACTGTGGTCCTTGCATATGAATTTCCCACATTTGCAGCAGGTGCTGCAAACTCTTCTGTCCATGCAAAAGTTGCACTGCCTCCTGCTCTTCCGTTCACTGATGAGAGAGGGGCCTGCAGCAGCACCCTGCAGATCTGACACCATTGTTGCAGCGGCTGATGAGCGGGGAAGGCGCCCTCTCTTCTTGATGTGTGGGGTCACCAGCATTTCTCCCACCTCTTCAATGAAGAGCCTCCTCCTGTACGGTTTCTGCTGCTGCCAGGATGGCTCGATTGATGTCCACAGGACGTAGGCGTTGTAATGGGAAATGTCAACCAGGTTGTGGAAGAGGGCAAGTGGCCAGCGATTTGTTCTCCTCCTGCAGGAGTATGTGGCAACAACCTAACAAAAACATAAAACAAGACAATTTGAATACATGATTCCAAGCATTTTCTCTCATGATGCAAATATTAATTATTTCATAGGAAAATGCTCATTTGAAAAAAACCTACATATATTTCAGACAAGAATATAAGAGTAAGAATACATGTGTGCGTAACTGATGCCTAATGGCACCTACCTTATCAAGGTTGTCGACACCTCCTTTGCATCGGTTGTAGTCTTTGATTATGACTGGCTTTCTCTTCATTTCGTCGCTTACGTCTGGACTGCGGTGTTTCGTGCTTAGAAGCAGCACATTCCTGCCCCGTCGAGGGATGTAAGAGACCAGTGTGTGGGTCTTCGTAAAGGCAAAGGTGGAGGAGAGGATCGCTCTCGCTCTTGCCTGGAGCAAAATAGGGGGAAGCTCAGGCTTGTTTCGGCGAATTGTGCCAACCAGGGCCAGTTTTCTCCTGAGCAGCTCCTCAGCCAGGGCGAAGGACGTGAAAAAATTGTCACAGGTAATGATGTGTCCCTGGAGCCCCTCTGTCATCTCCAGGACCACCCTCATCCCCTGGTTGACTTCAGGACGACTGCCAGCTGCTTTGCCTGTATACACCTGCAGTCTCCAGGCGTAGGATGATTTTACATCACAGTTTGCCCAAATCTTTATACCGTATTTGGCCGGCTTTTTTGGCATGTACTGCTTGAAGCTGCACCTGCCTCTGAATGGGACGAGCTGTTCATCCACGCAGACGTCGCTGAATGGGCTGAACAGCATCGGCAGGCGGTGCGTCCACATATCCCAGACTTTGCGGAAGGCAGCCAGCTTGTCATCACGGCGCCGCGGTCGGGATAGCTTGTCGTCGAACCGCAGTGTTCGGCTGATTTGGTGAAACCTCTTGTGGGACATCGTGGCTCGGAAAATGCTCCGTCCCGATTTCTCACTCCAGAAGCAGAGGGTCGATTCATTTTTTGACCTGTAAACACCGGCCAAAATGAGCAGCCCCACGTAAGCCTGCAGTTCCTCTGTGTCCATATCTCGCCACTCTGCAATTGACCGTCTCCCATGCAGGTTTGTCATGGACACAATATGCTGCAGGATGTCATCTGTCAGCAGCAGTGCAAAGCTGGATGCCGGATCACTGATTCGGGCGACAGCATAGTGTGTTGGTCCCGGGATCAAACTTCTGGCTGCTGGGACGTAGCGGAGCGTCTCAGTGTTTGTGGGAGACCAAAACACTTTACCATTTTTTGAAGTCCATCCTGCAGCTGCTTCCTCCAATTCCCCTCCGCTCTCAGTTTCAGATGAGTCTGAGTTGGACTCTAGCTGGTCTGTTCCCACCTCTGAGGCGTCCTCCGTGGACTCTGAGGCCTCTTCTGTGTCAGCCTCAGAGTCCACGGAGGAGGATGAGGAGCCATCCTCGCAATCAGAGTGCATGATGATGTCCAGAGCTTCCTGTGTGCTGTAATGCCTTGCCATCTCCAAAAAGACTACTCCTGCACTAATAGTAATACTTATAACCATGGCTGCAGTGCACCTGTATAAACAACCTGAGCGAGAACCAAAACAAAGTCCAATTTTGTTTTGGTTCTCGCAACTCATTGTTTTTATTATTGAATTAGATTATTACGCAGTGTGGCCTTCTAAGAGAAAAGTCTTTTGAAGTTTGACACACACACACACACACACACACACACACACACACACACACACACACACACACACACACACACACACACACACACACACACACACACACACACACACACACACACACACACACACACACACACACACACACACACACACACACACACACACACACACACACACACACACACACACACACACCATTATCCAACATCAAAAGCGACACACATATAATTTCAGTAGCAAGTGACCCTTGCAGAAAACAGTAAAAAGGGTGACATTTTGCTACAGGCTTCAAAGGGTTAAAATTATCGCCATCTTGTAGACAAATGTAAAAATTGAAAATTGAAAGCTAGAAGTCCAAAATGAAATCTTAACATAAAGGAAATCAAGAGTTTATGATAAGATAAATGTGGGGTCAAAAAAAGCATTTTCAATGGTTTTCAATGGGGCATTTTTTGCCGCTAGGAACAAATGTGTCGGTTTTTGTGTAGCTTAGCCATTTTAGGCTAATTTAAAAAACTGAGACGACAATTCAATATACAACTAAAAAAGAATATCCTCTGGCAAGTTTGAGCAATATTCATTCAACACAGCCAAAATGGCATGAACATGAAAACCTGAATGGCTGAAAAATGGCCCCAGGGACTCTTAAGGGTTAAATAAAGAAAGGAATTGAAAACACCGGAATCAAAAGTTATAACAATTATCTGAGTTTACTGGTAGGAAACCAAACACATATACAAGTTATACAGAGTACTCCGGACTTCAGGTTTGTGATGCGATGCGGATAAAGGTGTCAGGACCAACCAACTCATCAAACAAAAAGAAATTGACTTCAGGTTTGTGATGCGATGCGGACACAGATATCAGGACCAACCAACTCACCAAACCAAAAAGCATTTTTACATACAAAAACATCAGTATTCATATCCTTATTTTGGGGCGGAGAAGAGTTGACTTTTTCCTTCCCCTTTCATTCCAAAGCGAATGAGAGAGTCCGAGAGGAGGAGCTGTGTGAGCTGGTCACATCCCCCAAGTGTTTTTACTGGTTGGATTCACTCCTGGTCGGGTTCAATACAGCGAATCAGAGTTCCGACCAGAACGTGAGATCCTAAGTTTCTCAAGGTCAAAAGTCACTCTTATCTCGGCCCCCGATCTTAACTCCATTCCTTTCCCATGAGAGTTTTTCACATAAACTATCCTTTTTCAGACATTTAAACCTTTCTCCACATATTTAAGGAGGTCTTTAACGACTTTAAAAACAACATCTGTTGTGGAGGGGTGAAAAGGAGCGGTGTAATAATGTCTTTAATGACCTTAAAACCAACATCTGTTTTTAGGGGTGAAAAGGCCAATGTGTGAGTGTGAAACAGAATCTCTGGGTCAGTGAGTTTGAAAGTAAGAATATCATTTCTATATATATGATTACCCAAAACCGTTGTGATTACCTATAACAGTTGTGATTACTTAAAACAGTTCAAACAATACATGTTCACTAAAATACAATTCAAAATAATACATGTTTACTTCAATACAGTGTAGAATCATATCTTTTTACTTCAACACACACACACACACACACACACACACACACACACACACACACACACACACACACACACACACACACACACACACACACACACACACACACACACACACACACACACACACACACACACACACACACACACACACACACACACACACACACACACACACAGTATTGTATTATTGTATGAGAGAGGTTCCAGGTTGAATTGAGGCGAATATTTGTAATGTTCAGAGGTTGTTGTGTTTAATATTCATGAGAATATTTGTCATTGTTCAAATGATAATAAACAAACATATAAAGCATATTTGTCCACTCATATGTTGATAAGAGTATTAAAAACGTAAAAAATATCCCTCTAAAGTACATTTAGAACAGATACAAAATGTGCGATTAATTTGTGATTAATCGCGATTAACTATGGACAATCATGCGATTAATCGCGATTAAATATTTTAATCGACTGACAGCCCTAATAAATATATACTAACTGTGCTTACCCACCCATTTCACGAGCGCACAGAAACAGCCTGAGTGCGAGGTTAAGGTTTTAAGCTGGAACCCAGGAAATCTGTAAGCAGCAATATATCTGAGTGCAAGCAGGCACTATTTGAGTGTGAGGACAGGGTTTGAGGGAAAGAAATACATAATCTGAATGTGAAATCAATAAAGTATGCTCTCAAATTTAAATACCACGCTCTTGAATAAAGATAGGGAATAACCCCCATAGATCAGTGCCCGCAATTAAGCCCGGGCATGTAGGGCAAGGCCGATGTTCAAGGAGTGGTGAGTCCATATTCTTTCACTTTCTTCTATCTATCTTCTTACGTTTAGAGAGTCCAGTAGAGGGCGGAGCCTGTGTGATATATAACTGTCAGTGCATACATTTACGTACACAGCGTGGGGATGTCATATTGTAATGCACCTTAATACATGGAGTAATGGGCACCATCACAAAGCAATACTTAACAATAACAACAACAACAACCGTAATGCTTCAGCATTAAAACACCATAGACTGTAAATATAAGGAAAACACAGGGTTACCTTGGTTGGTTATTGGCTAATGGTTACACAAGCCAAAAATCGTTATTACATCATAAAGTGTCATTTTGTCATGGGACTGTTTAATACCAACTTATTTCCGGAACAAACAAAAGGAAATTCAAACCAAAAGTTCACATTTGATGCTAATTTAAGGTCTTGTTCTCCGTCGTTATCTTACTCAGTATTTTCTTACACAGCATAATTAGTGATCACGATAAATGATTCATGTTCTTTTGCATATATGTAACATGTCCATACATTTCACGAAAGTCCCACTAGATCAGGGGTGGGCAATTATTTTTTACAAGGGGCCACTTCAGAAACTCGAGCTGTGTTGGGGGGCCGAATCAAAAATAAGTTGAACTTAATTCTGCTCAATATACCAATACTGAAAAGGTGTTTTACAGTATGTTAAAGATAAGAAATGAATCAGCTTTATACAAAAATAAATGAGTGCTTTTCATTTTTGTTTTTCAGTTAATTTTACTTGTTCAGTGAGAAAAATCCAGTCTGTCTTGGGCTTGAACAAGTGCACGGAAATCTGGTTCAATGTCTGAGGTGGATATGCGAAGGACAGCTGAGAGGTGATCATCAGTGATAGAGGATCTGTATCTGGATTTGTTGAACTTCATCACTGAGAATGTCTGTTCACATATGTAGGTAGATCCAAAGAGGACCATCATCTTCTGAGCACGTCTCCTGATGTGTGGAAAGTTCTCCTCTTTCAGGGAAGAGTAAAACTCAGGCAGTGAGACTGACCTAAAGTGCTCTGACAGAAGTGTGTCAGACTGCAGGTCAATGAGTTCAAGCTGAACATCACTGGGTGCATCATCCACATGGCATGTAAATGGGGAAAAGATCATGTTCATTTCATTCTCAACTGTTTTGAAGTCTTTAAATCGCCTTGAAAACTCACCATGCAGTGCTTCTAACATGGATGAGTACCTCTGGAGGTGATCAGCTGATGGTGTGGCTTCCTTCAGTGTTGGCAAGTGCGTGAGAATGTTGTCCTCCATTTGGCTTGAGAGAAGCGTAGGAAGATGAGTAGCTGGGCAGTGTCACGTACATCGCAGCTCTCATCCAAAGCCAAGGAAAAAAAGTCAAAGTTGACCGCTCTGTTCTGCAGCTGAAGCTCCAGATTTCCCGCGATGTCCTCAATCCTCCTCGTAACAGTGCGTCGGGAGAGCGGCACTTTCTCATTTCACTTTCGCAGAGTCCAACAAACACTCCTTAATGAACTCTCCGTCCGAAAACGGTTTACTTTTTTTTGCAATTTTGTGGGATAAGACATAACTTGTCTTGACAGCTGCATCTCTGGATGTGGAATGTTTTGTGGAAATGTGTTGTTGGCTTTGCAGCTTAGCTAGCAAAGCATCCGACCCCTTTTGCCCGCTCTTCCTCAGACAGGTTATTGTATTTATCTGCGTGTTTGATAGCATAGTGGCGACTCAAATTGTACTCCTTGAACACAGCGACCTGCGCACCACAAACTAAACACACAGCTTTACCTTTCACTTCTGTAAATAAATACTTAGCGGTCCATGTCTTGTTGAAAATGCGGCATTCAGTATCGATCTTTCTTTTTTTGCCCTTAGCGGACATTTCGAGGACTAGCCGGCCAGCATCACTCGTAGCTGTTCACGGCATGCGCATTTACGTAAATAAATAAAAAAAACAGCAGCGCCCTTTT